GTATGTGACTTTGTTATAATTCGTTATGCAACAACAAAAATTGTTGATAATAAACTCACGAGCTCTTTAATTTATTTTTATTTTTTACCGACTTATTTTTTAACAAATTATTAAAAAATTAAATGTTTGTTTAATTAATTTTTAATTAAGTGTTTGTTCAAATTAAAAATTAAAGTCCAAATTCTGCCAATTTCATTTTTGTGGTTGCTTACCTTGACAATTTTTTCTGGGTTTTCCACGTTTTTCATTTTTATTTTTCATTTTACTTTATTTTAAGTAGTGTTTAAAGTACAAAAATTAAGTAAATTAAAATCAAAATTTAATATAAAAATTTCTCTGATAAAAACACAATAACAGTGATACTTTATGTAACAAATAATTCAAGTAAGCCAAATAAACTCACTTTTACTCCGAATAACATATACTATTTTATCCGCAAACAATCTGAATATCGAGAGTAAAAAAACACTATAAGCAAGTAAATGAACAAAATATTTAGGACGCTTTGCAAATAAAAGAAAATATATATTAATTTAATTAGTGCAGTTAGTAGTGTAAAATGCCGAATGCTGATGATCTACAATGTAGCTCTCAAAAAATACTTATTTTTTCTTAATTTTTTACTAGTATTTATTTATTATTATTAAAAAAATTAAATATTTGTTTGTTTAAAATTTAGAATTTCTAATTAAGCGTTTGTTCAAATTAAAAATTAAAGTTCAAATTCTGCTACAAATTCTATTTTTGACAGTTTTTCAGTGGGTTTTCCACTTCTTTCATCTTTATTTTTTATTTTACTTTATTTTAAATTGTGTTTAAAGTATAAAAAACAATGACGTAAATGAAAATCAAAATTTAATATTAAAACTTCTATGATAAAAACACAATAATAATATATTATGTTATTAGGAGTAACAGTGATAGCTTATGTGACAAAGTTAAACGTTTACATATACTATTTTATCCGCAAACGATCTAAATATCGAGAGTAAAAAAGCAACATTATAATTAGCAAGTAAATGAACTAAATATTTAAGACGCTTTGCAAGTAATGAAATTATAACAACGCTTTTAAAGCGTTTATTAATTTAACTAATGCAGTTAGTAGTGCAAAATGCCGAATGCTCCAGAAATTGTTAAAGCAGCGAAAGAGACAAGATTGTTAAATGTTATGGTAAAAGTAAAATTGCTTAGGCGCAAAAATAGAATTTTTACTCCATGGCTGGGAGGTACTAAAACTTTTACTTGTGTATTTAGTCATAAAAGTGGTCACTTTTGTGACGTTTGTAGAATTTTTTTTATCTAATTTGACAAAGAAAAATTTACTTTTCATTTAAAATTTTTGGGAATTGGTAAACGAAAAACACCGATGTTACTTTATTAAGCGCTAATTAAACATTTGTTATAATTATTATAAATTAAAGTCGATTGTGATTAAAAGTACAAAATATTTAAAAATATACAAAATTTTTTGCAAGTAATGAAATTATAACAACGCTTATAAAGCGTTTATTAATTTAACTAGTGCAGTTAGTAGTGCAAATTGCCGAATGTTGTTGATTTATAATGTACATCTTTAGAAATTGTTAAAGCAGCGAAAAAGACAAGATTGTATTTTATTATGGTAAGTGACGCAAAAATAGAATTTTTACTCCATGGCTGAGAAGTACTAAAACTCTTAATTGCGATATTTAGCCATAAAAGTGGGCAATCTTGTGACGTTTGTGAATAAAAAATGTTTTTTTTTAAATAATTTCTCAAAGAAAAATTTACTTTTTATTTAAAATTTTTGAGAAATGGTAAACATAAAACACCGATTTTACTTTATTAAGCGGTAATTGAACGTTTGTTATAATTATTATAAATTAAAGTCGATTCTGATTAAAAGTACAAAATATTTAAAAATATTCAAATCTTATTTATTTCTTGATTGTTTTTCTGTTTTTTTTTCTTCATATTTTATTTGTTTTTGAATACGAAAAACAGTTATCTTAGGAAATTTATTTTGAATGAAAAAAATTCTGATTGATTACCTGGATCCACTGAAACGCTAACGAACGTCGGCCTTTCATAATAGTCCTGAAACCCACTGAAATGACTTAAGAAAAACGGATTGGACGTAAACCTCGAAACCAGAGAGCTTCTCTTCACGATACTCTTCGCTTCATTTGCCACCACAACCATAAACAGCACAAAAAGGAAACTCTAAAAGACAAATTATCTTGTTTTTGTTGCATCAGAAATGGAAAACTTACGAAATGCCCCATCGTGTCTTCACTTCGACTTTACTCAAATAACAATAACTTAGAATTTCACTGAAAGCAAATCAAAAACCCATTCATTTAGCTATTTTTAATTACTCCAATGCGTCACTTTGGAATTTCGAGCTTTCAAATATTTTATTCTCGATTGGGTAATCTTGTGGGGTATGGATAATAAATTTGACTCGTCTCTGGTATGGCACGTGGTGCCTAACATCCAGTTTCACTTTTCCGACCTAAAGTGTGGCTCTTGTGCCTTTCAAATTCGGACGAAAGTAATAGTTTGTTGTAAAAAATTCTTTGAGGACACTTTCCATAATTCTTGACAAGGTCATAATGGATTTATCGTGGATGCGGAAACTGATGTTTACTAAGAGACACAACTTGTTAAACCTCATTAATTGTAAAGATGACTCCACTGGAAGCAATTAGATTTCTCTAATTAATTGTTTATTTTGTGGGTTATTTCCTACATTTGAGACGATTTGGACGAAAGTGATGGTGTGTGCTGGAATTGCATTCACTGTCACATTTTTGCACCAATTTTCTAATAAAATGGAAGATTTTTAAAATAGAAATTGGACCAAGAAAAAATTTCATTTATTAGATTTGATGATTTGAAAAAATTCAAAATCATTTAAATTGTCTCTTCACTTTTCAGTCTTGCTTATGCAACAAAAATTAATTATTGTTACTATTTTTTATAGAAGACGACCACATACAGAGTGAAAGTTCTTCCATTATTTAATTCAAATTGCATGCATTTTTACACGCACTTGCATTGTCGTTTTTTTATAGGGCTAGATCAAGTAGACTGCGGAATTCAAATTGATGTCTTATAAAAACAGTTTAAAACAAAGATTAGGTAGCTTGTATTTTGTGTTTTAAACTATTTTTGACATCATTGAATATATTGGGTTAGAGCAGAGATACTGACCGGGGACGTGGTGGCGTAGATACGGTCTTTGCTTCCGGCAAAATTAAAATTAAGTTTTTATAATTCTTATAATGCAGATTTTTTTAGCATTTAATTTCGTACTTCAGTATTGTAAAATTTGTTTTAATTTTTTTTATTCACATATTTGGAATGTTATGTTTTATTTTATTTTTACTTTCTTCTTTGTTCTCTATTTTTTATATCACCAAAAATTTTAAAATAAAAATCAAATATTTGGTTTAATAAAGTACTACAACCAACATTAATTCAAAACTTGACAATTTCTCAAAATACTTAAGTACTTTTAAATAGTAGAGTAATTTGCTTGTGAAAATATCAAATAATTAAAAAAAATCAAATTTGTGTAAAACCTGACATTGCTGGTATTGTTTTCTTCATTTGGTAAAAATTTTAATAAATTTTGTTTCTAGTTTTGAGATCTTTTGGTAAAATATTTTCCTAAGCTACGGTTATCACACAATTTAAAAAAATAGCGCCAGAAATTTTTTTTGTAATTTTTTTTTGTTAGTCAGTTTTGGCATTTTTTTTACTTAAATCAATCCATGAGCCGGATAACTTCAATTTGTTTTTTTTTTAAATACTTTTTTACGTCAGTTTGTTGTTGAAATATATGACTTTTAATAAAAAAGAATCTTTTTGTTTTTGATTATCGATATCTCAATAACCAATAACAGAAAAGAGAATGTAAGGATAGTTTTGTAAACTAAAAAAATCTCCTACAGATTTCTTTTAAATTAAAAAAAAACATTTTTTTACCCTCCACATAGACTTAAAAAAAGAGAAAAAAAGTTAATTTTTTGTTGTTTTACAATTTACAAATATAAATGAGAAGGCTAATGTTTTCAGGTTTTTTACATCTTAATGTAATTCCAATAGCCCTGTAAATTTTTAAAGCGTTTATTTAAACCGTTTTCTCGGACCGATTAATCAAAGTTTGCAAAAGAATTAAAGGAATAAGTGGGTGTACTCTTCAACAAAATAAAAAAAAACATTTTTTAACTTTTTTTTACAATTTTGCATTACTTGTAGTTGTGAAAAAACATTATTTTTTGAGTTTCTTTGTTTTTCAAAAATTAGGTAAATGAACAAGCTATCCGGCCCATACATTAATTTACCTAAAAAAATTTTCCAAATCCTCAGACCAAACTAAATTGTTTTAGCCAAAATATCTCAAAATTGGAAATTTGAAGCTTCAAAATTATTCTTACGGGAAAAACATTTGTTAATCAAAATTCAAAAACTTGAAAAATAAACTCCTCTGGAATTAGTTGTACAAATTTTTGAAATTTAATAAATTATTTAGAAGTATTTAGAATTATTAAAAATATCTTTGCATTGTTTGAAATTAATGGAATTATTTGCGAGTTACTAATTTTTTTTCTGGAATTACTGAAATATTTTTTGGAATTATCGGAGATAATTTCTTTTGAAAATTACATTGCATTTCTTAGAAATATTTTTTTTTTGCCAAAAGATCTAAAAATTGAAAACTGAAGCTTCAAAATAGTTTTCTTAAAATCTAGATTTTCACTGAGATATAGCCTTTTAAAAATCAAAATCCAATTTAAGAAATTTTTGATTTACTTAATTTTTTGCGGTAGTGTATAACAATTTTAACTAAAACTTGGACTTTTTCTCTATTTAAAAATCATTATCAGAACAAGACTTTTTGTTTTGTACTAATTTAATGTGTTCTATAATAAATAATTAAATTATTTTTTGTTTTAAATTTCTTTTGTTATATTATTTGTAATTAGGCAACACATAAAACAACAAAATAGTGTAATTAATAATCACTTTATTTTATTTTTTAATAAAAAAATACAAGATATTTGTCAAAACACTTTAATTAAAAACAGCTATTTTTTAAATAATTATTTATTTTCCTCATTACTCTGCTACAAATTTGACATTACCTTATAAAAACTGAGTTTGAAACAATAAGCAGAACGCAAAATAATGAAAAAGAAAAAATCCTTTTTTGATACACAATTCCACAAAACAGTTTAGACAAATTGTCATAATGTTTTTCTAACCTCGAGTCTAAACTCTCGTAAACAACATCAAACATTATAATAAATTAGGTTTGTCTCCAATTAAGTACTTAGCACTTCATGCAAATGTTTAAATAATAATAATAATTGTCACAAACGACGTAAATGAAAATACAGCATAAATATTTCACCGAACTGCTTCATAATCAGTATTTATCACCAAGATGAAGCTTTCATACACCACACTAATATTTCATTTCATGATTACCACATTTTGTGCAAAACTACGTAAGTGTTTAAATGAATAAAACAAAAAATTGATTGTTTTCCAGCTTCGAGTTTCAAAAAATGTGATTATAAAAGTCCGGATTTGGACCAGTGTTTGGTTGAAGCGATCCAAACGGCTCTTGTCCAGCTTGACCATCCAATGGTTGGGCTACCATCACTGGACCCATTACTGGTTGAACGGTTTTCAATAGGGGCAGGGTCGGGGCCTGTGGGGGTCCAGGAGAATTTTCAAAATGCCAAACTTTACGGTTTTACGACGGGAATTGTGGAAAATGCAGCGTAAGCAATTTTCGAATTTTGCAAAATTTATTAAAAAAACTAGTTTGAGTTTAAGCCCAAATCGGAGTCATTTGAATTTCACGATTACCATGCCGGAGTTTAAAATTTTGGCCCAGTATCAGCTCGAGGGCCAATTGCTACTTATTCCGGTCCATGGTAAAGGCGATGCCACCCTTTTGTTAAGTAAGAGAGTTTTTTGAAGTTAAATGAAAATTTTTTGTCCAGAAAATGTGACAGGTGTGGTTTTTCTTTCGCTGGAAAAGTACCCAAAAAAAGGGTTTACGCATTTGAAAATAGTGGATGGGAAAGTGACTCTCCCCAAAACTGATCTACTTTACATGAATTTCCAAAATCGGGAAAATAGAACTTCTGAATTTTCCGATATGATGAATAAAGTCCTTAATGACAACTGGAGGGCAATTTTCGATGATGTGAGAAGTGGTTATGAGAGTTTTTTCACTGAAATTATTGTAAATCTAGCCGGGAAATTTTTCGACAAAGTGCCACTAACTGAAATGCTTGATAACGTTGAATAAATTTTTTTTTGAAATTTTGTTGTTTTTTTTACCAATTTTAGTACATTTCCCCGACTGGTTTAATGGTCAATTCGTGCACCTGAAACTTGAAATTAGAGAAAATTTGGAAAATTGGGGAAATACCTGGACGTGTTCAGGAGTGCTCAAAACATAGATAACTCCATCTGCGATGTCTTCGGTTTCCAAAGCTGGGAATTTTTCAACAATTGCTTTCTTTTCTGGGTCGAGATTTTTGTTGAGAGTTGTCATTTCGGTGGTTACCAGTCCAGGGCTAACACTCTAAAAAAAGATTTTAACAAAAAAAAGTAAAAAAAGTAAGACCTATAAATAAAATTTCAAAATTTTTGTGTATTAATTAAATTGTTTAATTAAACTTATTTTTTTAAATTTTTGTAAGATTTATGATTTTCAAAAGTTTTGTTTAGGTTTTTTTAAATTTTTTCAACAGAGAAAAACTATTTCTTAAGAGAAAAATATTTGTTAACCAAAATTTTTTAAGAAGATAAACTTAACTAGAATTAGTTGTACCTACAAATTTTTGAAATTCAATCAAAATTGCTTGAAATTATTTAAAAGTATTTGGGATTATTAAAAATATCTTTGCATTGTTTGAAATTAATGGAGTTATTTGTGAATTGCAGAAATTTTTCCGGAATTACTGAAATATTTCTTGGAATTATCAGAGATAATTAATCGGAATTAATTTGAAATTTTAGAAATTAATTGAGAATTATAGAATTAATCTAAAAACAATCGAATTATGATGAATTATTGGAATTATCAGAATTCCGATGGAATTTTTTTACAATTACTGGATTTCGATAATAAAAATTAAAATTTAACAAATTTTTGAAATTCAATCAAAATTGCTAGAAATTATTTAGAAGTATTTAGATTTATTAAAAATATCTTTGTATTGGTTGAAATTTCTGGAATTATTTGGAATCTTCAGAGATATTTTCTCTTAAAAATTTCATTGCATTTTTTAAAACTATCGGAATTAATTT